TATGAGCTAAGGGTAGTAAACTGGGGGAAACTTAGCAAGACCTGTTCCTTTGTTCGGATTCCTCATGGCATCCCTCCATCCACAGAGATAAGGATGCTCCTTTCCTCCAGGTATAGAGAGGGCACCTCTCACATGAGGGTCTAAGGACCTACTTCAAGGGAGATGGGGGAGGTCAGAGAGCCCTTCCTGCATCTGCTATTTGTCACATTCCTACGGCCAAGTTGCCATATTTTGGGGTAACATGCTGAACCCTGTCATACGTTAAGGATGGACACTCTACAGTGACCATCTCTGATAAATGGGCTATTGGTTATTGATTAGAGATTTAGACCATAACTCAGGATCTGGAAGCAGGATATGTCCAGGGTGGTTGGCCTGAGCCATAGGTGGACACCTGCTTGTCATAGGTGTTATTTGTTTAGGGTCTCTAAGTCCCCGTCAGAAGGGGCCAGCGTTACAACCTCAGTCTCCTTGGTGGATGTTAGAACCTTACAGAATTACTGCATCTGATTTGAGTAAATGGAAGTCTGCAACCCTTCCTCTGGTTGCACCTGACTTCCTTCAATTAACCTTCTTTACTTGAATTCTATATTCTGTTTATACTTTCTCTGTTCTGGCAGTTTCTGAAATCCTAATTATATTTGATGACATCTAGTTAGATTCTGAATACTTCACACACCTTGCATTCAAAGTTAAAACAAACCAAAAAAAATCACCATGGAATGTTTACCCGAGCAATTTAAATTTGGGGTGCTAGCCTCTGGTAAACTGATTTCAGGATGTATGTAAATGAGTTAATGCTCTATAAAGTTATTAACTATAAACCATTTAAATGCTAGGAAACAGTTTCTCCCCCCTCATCACCCCCCTCGTCCAAATGACATTTTAGGAGATCAGAGACTTAATTTGAAGCCATTCTTTCTCCCAGTTCCTAACGATAAAAGAATCAGGGATATAGCAAGTGATTTGTGATTCTATTTTTTTCCAAAAATGATAGTGAGCCATTAGTGTACAAGCCAAAAAAAAGAAGGTGAAGGAAGTACAGAATACATACCTATTTTGATCCTCTAGAAATTATTTTTAGATCCATTAAGTATTCATTTCTACCAATCTTGATTTTTCAAGGGGATTATTAAGATCTATACGGAGCTTATGCACCTTAACCCATAACCTCCCCTCACAGTCAGAAAGTTAAGGGAGGAAGGAAGGGAAGAAAGGGAAGAAAGGGGAGAGGAGAGGAAGGAGGGAAGGAAGGATTTTATGTTATTCTTAACAAATTTCTCCACAAAGTGAAACAGACTATAAGAGTGGTCAATAATAGAAAAACTGGTACCAAACTCTCTCTGCTCTTTTTGTATCCCAAGAGTTCAGTTTATCCAGAAGGAAATGGGCATTTATTTTAGAAAGCGTGTCAGGTAAGCTGATGGGTCTATAATTTTAAAGTAATGGAGAGTTTGCTTTTTTAGATGGATTTTCTATACTCTAGGTCCAAGCAAATGGAAGCATACCACTGTTCAGTTCTTTAAGGATGCTGGGAAACACACAGAAGTTATGCCAGTTCGTGGAGTTTTAGAGTGAAGGATGCGCAAAGAAATGAGGGGGACACGATAAAGCCTCAGCAGGGGCACAGCCAGACCTGGAGAACTGGAAAGTACTCTTCAAAATCCCCTAAGACCTGGTGGTTTGCAACTGTGAGGACAGTGGTTGTCTCCTTAGAAGTGGGTTTTCATTGCTTTCTACATGACTGTTCCTCCATTCCTTCCATTAGCTTGGTGTGTAAAGCTGGAGAAGAAAGCCTCTGGATATCACCTGAGGCTGAGCTTCCCTGATCTCATTCATCACACTCACACTGTGGCCTCTGGACTTGTCTTCAATGGTAGATGTACAAGTCCACGTGGAATTATTAATCTTGAATATTTTCCTGGCAGTGAGAATTTTATGAACAAGTTTAATTAGATGTGGTCTTCAGGTTGTGTTTGAAATATTGCCTGGCTAGGATTTGAACTACCTAAAGTCCTTTTCAAATAAAACATTAGAATGACAACAATTAGGCAACAATATTCTTATTTCCTGCCTATTAAAAAAAAAAGGTGGTGGTGGTGGTTCTAAGAGCATTGTTACTAAGGCATTCACTTGGGAGTAGGACAAGATAGTCATGCTGTCGTTAATTATGGCCTGTTTATAAACTTTAAAACTGTATCCATGTGTTTAAGCACTACCATACCTAATTTGAATTATGGATGAAACTCTTAAAAAATTTCCCATGTTAGGGGCTGGCCCGGTGGCGCAAGCGGTTAAGTGCGTGCGCTCCGCTGCGGCGGTCCGGGGTTCGCTGGTTCGGATCCCGGGCGCGCACCGACACACTACTTGGCAAGCCATGCTGTGGCAGCGTCCCATATAAAGTGGAGGAAGATGGGCACAGATGTTAGCCCAGGGCCGTCTTGCTCAGCAAAAAAAAAAAAGAGGAGGATTGGCGGATGTTAGCACAGGGCTGATCTCCTCACAAAAAAAAAAAAAAAAAAAAAAAAAAAATTTCCCATGTTACTTTGATTAATTGATTCAGAAATACATAACCAAAGGGGAAAATAATCATGGGGTCCAGTTTATCTCAAATGTGCCCAATTATAAGAGTGTGAGACTACAGAGAAAATATTTTTATGTTTCTGCACCGTTAGAGCTTTCTGAGCGTTTTTCCTGGAACGTGAGACCTGAGCTAAAAGATGAGCCTTAGAAGTTAAATTATGACTGGATACATAGTGAGCACTGCAGAGAGATTTGCCTCTCCAGAGGTTGTGTGCTTACATTACCAAGGAGTGGGGATAGGGAGAGGGGGATGAGACCCAGCTGCATGGAGACATTCCCAGGGTTGTAAAGCAGGAGACACTAGTCTTATCTCCCCCTAGCTACATGTATTACTTTCCAAAGGATAAGAACCCAAGATCCTTCCCAAGTTGAATTTATTTACATTAAGGAGATAAGATTTCTCTCCCTCTCTCAGAGGAGACAGTGGAGGGGAGTGGGGGGGACAGCTGTCCTTCTCCTCTACAGCCATCCAGATGCACATTTTTTAGATTCCTCACCTACAGTGTAGACCAATTATAGGATAACAACTGGTTCTCATTGTGTCACCTTGGAAAGAGGAAATTAGGGCCTGGGAAACCAGTGCAATCATTTTCTGTGAGTAAATAAGAACCTATTCTGCTCCAGAGACCTCCGATTTGCATTCAGGATAATATTGATAAATATGGATATTAAAAACTTTAAGAGTCAGCTCAGACATGCAATCCTCTCCCCCAAATTCTGTTTCAGTGAGTCTGGGTGCTCAAGAATCAGTATTTGAACAGCTGCCCCAGATGATTCTTCTCAGACTTGTTTAGGGAACACTGCACTGGTCCATGACCCAGGAATAAAAAGTACTTCTTACAGGAGACCAGTCTGCCTCTGCTGGCATGCTTTGTTAAGTTCGGTTATTGTACTCACCCCCATCTTTTGATATTAAGTAGGTGAATTTAAGGATATAAAATTTTTTTTTAGTTTAAACTTTAGGATGAAAATTGAAGGCTGACACATCTCTGGTTGGTCTTTCTCTATTTTCCTTGCACACTCCTTTGTTTTTTTAAAAAATGATTACATCATTAAAATCATCGATCTTCTGGAATCTTTAGTGTGACCAACAATTTTATTTACCCAACCTACAATCCCAATATTCTACCAAAACTTCACTAACTTCTCCATTCTCTTTAGTTATCGTTCTTATAATCCCTTTACATTTGTATAGTGCTTTACATTGCAAGATGCTTTTACATTGATTGTCCCATTTGATTCTCAGAATAATCTTTGGAAATGAAGAGGAATTGTTAGGAGTTAAACCATTTATGTAAATTTGAAATATATAATACTTCAAAATATTTGAAATGAGATGTGAGAAGATTGAAATTCAGTATACGTGTGGGACATCAGTTGTCTAGCTAACATGTTGAGGCTCTTGTAATTGAAAGGGAATCTCTTTGTTGTCATGACATCAATAGCTAACAAATAATAGGTATTGCATCGACTATCCTTTGGGCATATTGATTTCCAAGATGCACAGAAACTATTGCCTCAGCTCCTGATAATTATTTTTCTTTAACCAAAAGATAAATATAAATATGCAAGTACTTGCATTAAGAAAAATATCTGTTTTCAAACTATATTGCTCAGATGCCTTTGAATCTTTTAAATGTTAAAGAATAAGCATAGATCTTTATACTTCTACAGTTTTCAGAGCACTTTCACACATACTGTCTCATTTAATTCTTAACCACATATGAGATACGTAAAATATCCACTCTTTACAGATGAGGAAATAACGAATGAGAGAAGGCCCAAGGCCATGTACTCAGGAGGTGATAGACCCTGGACCACCAAGTAGAGTATTAGGACTTCAGGTCTAGTGCTCCCCTTACGAAAAGGCACTAAGATTATGATGAAAAACCAGTAGGATGTGTGTTCTGCTTGACGTATCATAAGCCCTGAAATTTCCAAATTATTTAAATGTATCATTTTCTAAAGTCTCAGACTCCTGGAAACATGAGTTCAGAGGAGGCCAGGAAAGAATGCTGGTTATGAGCTAATGTCACCAGCAGTGAGGCACTGATATGTGACCCAAATAAGGGAAACGCTGTGATGATTAACCTAATAGCAGGTTAATCCTGAAAGACCATGCGCCTCCCTGATTTTAATTCATCCACGTACATTTATTATAGGCACATTTCATAAAAATACACCATGGCGAAAGCAAGACGAAAAAGTTGATCGTTGTTATAGCATCCATTTAGATGGAAAGAAGGTAACTATTAAGATTAATGTTCCAGTCAAAAGTGCAAAATTTTTACTCTGTTGTCTAGAATAATTTCTCAAACTGTGACTCGGAACTGTATTCCAAGTCCCTTCAGAATTCAGTTCAGTAAGTTTTACATCGGTCCTTTCTTTCTAACACACCCAATCTCTTCATAAAACAGGATCTTCAGAAGCAGGCTGGAACACTGGAAAACAAAGCCGTCCTCTGCAGCTCAGGCCTCCACTCGCTCACCTTGCATGCCTTTCCTGTGGTTTAATGAAAGCCGGAAAGGATCCTATTCCTTCAGGAACCTGCCTTCATCTACAAGTCCCCTTCAGCCTTCTCCTGAGACTCTAATTTCAGATAAAAAGGGGTCCAAGGTAGAAAACACATGGATTAAAAAAGCAAACAAGAAACCCCCAAATCCTTCCTCTTCAATCTTTGGAAAGCATTCTCAACTTGTGTGTATACTCTGGATCCGAGAAACCAGTGTGATAACACTGCAATAAATGCATGGTATTTCTTGTGTGGGGAAAAAGACAGCCTTATTTAACCATCACCTTCTTTAATACTGTTCCATTCTAGAGTGTGCGTTAATCTTTGATTTGCCTGTCTTTTCACATATTGCTATTTAATCTCAGTTTGACAGTTAAGCCATGCTGGGAAAGATGCATTTGAATCATGGAACAGTATGATAGATCTGTTTACCAAGTATTCCACTTTAAATTACATTACAAAACTATTTTTGCTGTGCTCTTCAAGATTTACTGGAAAACAAATAAATTTGAGACTGAATGTGTGTTCAATACATCTAAATGAAACTCTTTAAAACAAACCAATGCTACATAGCACTCTTATTTATTTCTTGTTTTAAATCAAACTTCCATGTTGAACAACTGTTGTAATTCTGTCACCAAATTCTTTAACTTAGCAGAATTAGGAATTATATGCATGGATGTTATTTGTTTTTAAATGCATGATGGTTATTTCCAGCATGACGCTGCAAACCTTATCTAACATTTTATTGAAACACATATGGTGGCTAACTTTCATGTGTTTGGTCTTCTTTTATCTGTGTTCACTTTTCTTTCTCAAACAGAAATATGTGATTAATGTTACTTGAATTTAATTCTTTTCTTGAGGTCAACGGCTCACAGGGTTTTGACGGGGTTTGGGGTTGTGTCTCCACTGACAATATCAAATGGTAACGTGCTGTGTTAAGTGCCCTGCCGCTTAAATGGTCCCCTAGCCTAGCTCTGTGTGCTCTGATTTAGTCTTCTCTACTAAAGGAATCAGCAACCAACTAAACCCAATGCAAAGGAACCTAATGGAAAACTAACAGTCCAATTCCTAAAAAAGTGGAATATGAAACAAGATGGTGTTGGTCAAGTGCTTACAGTTTCTGGGAAGCCAGTCATTCTAGAATTATTAGAAAAGAACTTTTGATAGCAATAGACTACTTTGGCCTTGAAACATTTTCAGTAATTGGATCTGATATATCTAAATATTATTTGACTGATTCTACCATTATCTTACACTGAAGAGACTCCAGATTTGGTTTAAAATGTTTTCATAAATGCAGCTATGTAGTCATTGTGAATTTACTTGACTTTAATATCCACTGAACATTTTAATCAAGTTCTGGGGAAGTTTTATTTACACACCTGCACCTCCGGCATCCCCAGGTGGTCATTTGGAAACGCGTTATCTGTTTGTGCTGCAGCCTCTGTGGTACTCTGCTGGTGCTACGTGAGAATTGTATTTTAACGTGTAACTACGAGTGTAGTGTCAGGCTGTGCCCTCCCCCAGAACTCATCATCTTGAAGGTTACATCCAGGAGACGATCTGCCATTTCTCACGGTATTTATCACGGCCAACAGCAAGCGATCCTTCCCAGGGGGTGCTCAAGCTACCTTTCTAATATGGATGCCATCTGTTCCTAATAGCTCAGCCTCTCCACACCATCCTGTATTTTTACTTACACTGTTACTCATCACAATTAGGGTCAAAGAAGATAGGCTTATTACTATTACTCCTCTGAGCACTTGGAGAGGATAATGAATGCTGTACCCTTGAAGAGAGGTTGACGAATCATTTCTCCAAAGCACCCATCCTTTCATCCAATGGAGAAAGCACCCAGAATTCCCTATCAACTGCAACAGACAGTGTTCTCAACCGCTGCCTGGTTGAAGGTCATAACCAAACCAAACATGAATTTCTTCTAAGATTATTTAAAAATAACTTTTTTTGGAACTTGCTAACACACCTACCTATGGTTCCCTCACTGAGTTAAAGCTCATTTAACTCTGAGCTTCATTTGTTTTTACAGAATTTTGCCTTCAATGACGACTTCAGTCCCAGCAGTACCAGTTCGGCAGACCTGAGTGGCCTAGGAGCAGAACCCAAAACACCAGGGCTCTCACAGTCCTTAGCACTGTCATCAGATGAGGTACGCTTGTGGTGCTTAAACAGCAGAACTGCTTTCTCAGATCATACATTTTACCCGTGAACTCTCACCGGGAAAATGTTTGTAGGTAGATTTTGCATATAAATCATTGAGACCATGTTTTCATATTTGATATGACGTCTTCATGATTTCTCTCCGTCTGTGTTTCAACATGAGAGCAAAGTATTGTTTCTGAGCCCCTTTAAGCTGTCCAGGGACCTCTTCAACCTTTCTCTGATTTAAATGGGGTGGCTCTAGACAGGGGAGTGGGGATGGGAGGCTGTGCAGTTGAAAGCAAAAATAGGGGACAGCTCAGAAATCACGTAGGAGTTTACAGATAATTTATTCCCTTTCTCCCACACCTCCCCCACCATCACCCCTACCCCAAGACTCTGATATCCCCTCTTAGTAGGGTGTGGCCTCCAATTGAGAATCACTGCAGTGGAGAGGGGGGAGGTACGGTTCCCATATGGAAGGAAAACTGGATGAGAACCACTGATTTAGAAGCCAGGGTCAAATTAGTATTGTAAAGAATTCTCAGGAGATAAATGTGTACAAGAGAGGCAGGAAATTACATTAGTGATTAACTTAGTGCCCCAATAGATGAGCAGAGGAAAGAAATACCAGTATTTGGTGGGGGAGTGGGGGGGTCACTGTAAGTAAAGATATTTTAGCTCTAAATATTTGTTCTTAGTTAGTCTAACATGATTTTTGTTTTGTAAAACTTTTTTTTCTCTTAAACTTTTCTGCCCATATTCTTCAGGCTTGGCAAGATTTTAATTTTATCAAAACTTTGTACTGTATATGTTGTGTCTCCTGTTTCTATAACACTTTTCTTTTTGATTCCTTTGTTGCTCCCTCACTCAGAGCCTGGATATGATAGATGACGAGGTGAGCCATCAGTGGGCTGTGTGTGGTGGCTTATGTGGTATTGTTTGAACCTTCTTTTCTCTCTTTGCAAATGATTTAAAAGTCAAACAATACAAGAACACTTTCCTCTGTGGTGGAGGATTTCCTTGTGTTAAATAGTTTCACTCTGTGCCGTGTCTGTATCTTAATTTAAAAGTGATTCCTGACTCAAGAGGGTTTCCACATTCCACCTCCAGAGTCCCTCGGTTTATCTCCCATCACCATTACCTTGACACAGTCCATTCTGTTTCACCTCCTTTGCCTTCATCTCGGCTTACCCCATCGCCTCTTCTGTGTTCCCTACGTGGGTCACTGAGGTGACTCCTGTCTCTCCTCCCAGGCGTATCATTGCCTTCATCTCCTTTCAGCTTAGTGGTTCTAGGAACCAAGCTGCCCTTTGCACTATTAAAAGTAGTGTTCTGCATTGTACAGAGCCTGAGATTTCAAATAAACCACTAACTGTTGAGCTCTACCACTTACAAGCTGCATGATCTTGGACAGATCTGTAGACTTTCTGAGCCTCAGTTGCCTCATTTATTAAAAATAGTTATGGAAATTACCTGGCCTACCTTCCTCACAGGTTTGCTTGCTGCTCAAATGAAATCATGGCTGTGAAATTTCCCCTAAGAATGCTTGAGGACTTAATGCTCTCCTCTGCCAAGTGAAATATACCTCAATATTTTTAAATGTATTTTTATATATCTCTAATGTCTTATCAGAGGATAAATGCAGAGTGATACATTGCATATAGAGATTAATGAAATATTTGTTTTATGCATCTGATAATCTTTCCAAAGTGTTTAATGTCAAAGCTTGCAACATTAGAGTGTACCTTTCAATATTAAACTTCCTACATTAATAATGCTACTTTATTTGGGGGAATTTTTAAATTTCCAAATACCTAAAAACAATGTAGGTAGTAACTACGTGTGTGTGTTACATGCACAGCTAGAACCATTAGCTTATCATTTTATGGTTTAAAATAAATGTGGCTCTAGTAGGCAAGAAATTCCTTCTGATAGCATATTATGCTGCACTGAGCCATAACATTTGGTCCTTTAACAACACTGCATAACATTCCTACCTCAGATCCTTGATGATGGACAGTCTCCCAAACACAGTCAGTGTCAGAATCGGGCCGTTCATGAATGGAGTGTGCAGCAGGTTTCTCACTGGCTAATGAGCCTAAATCTGGAGCAGTATGTATCTGAATTCAGTGCCCAAAACATCACTGGAGAGCAACTCCTGCAGTTGGATGGAAATAAACTTAAGGTAAAGAATTGTATGTCTGTGTAGCTTATCAGGTATAATTTGTATTACTCATAGCACCTAAAATGTTGTCATTAGATAAGAGCATTCTGCATATCTGAGAGGTAGTTCTCATCAATGGTTAGCAGAAAGGATGTTGAATTGTTTCTGAGTAGTAAATGAAGTTTTGGAGAGTCATCAGGGGTTCTAAACCAAATAGGAGGCTACTGAGTAGAAGAGCTAGGGACTCGCTCGCTCCATTGCTTCCACCTAACAACACATGGTCCATGTATTAACTCTACTTACTTCCTATGTACTATGAGTTTTAATAATGGCCGATGTGGACTCTTTCATCACATTAGAGTTAAAAACCCAGATCCATGAGTCTTCCTTCTTTATTCATTTCTCCTCCACCCCACTCTTCCCTGCACACCACTCCAAAACTGGGATGATGTTCTACCCAGAACTTTCTTCCCCAAATATGTGCAGACTGTGTCTTCCCTCCCTCTCCATCGCACTCTCATTTTCACCTGTCTAGTCCATCTTTTGTAGCGACTGAGGTGGCACCTACCCCTGTGGAAAAAGGGCAAAAGGAACTTAACAGCCAGATCCCCACCCCCAGCCTCAGCCCCCTGCTGGGCTGATGGGCAGATGAGTCTCTCTTGACAGTCTTGAAAAGGTTAGCGATCAGTCAATAGCCTGTGAATATGAAGGCCTCATTGACAAGGCTGTCCCTGTTGGGGAGATGGATGCATCCTGCTGTTGATTCTGAAGGTCATGAAACATTTAAAGTACGTAACCAACTCCCCTTATTCTGAATTCCAAGCTATCGAGCAACCTTCTCATTATAATCAGGCTTCCTTTATAGGTCTGCCTACAGAGAGAGAATGGCTAGTCATGCTGACATGAGCATTCTGGTCCCAAAGACATTTTTGGTCCTCATTGTAAATGAATACATTGCAGAAAGGAAGCCATTTCAATTCTTCCTGCCCTTTTTGGAGCCCTCTATGGCAGCAGGTACCCACTCCTATCTTTTGAAAATATTGACGAGTTTAGCAATACTTTTCCTTGTAAATATCTACAGCCCAAAGGTTGGAGAAGCAGAATTGTGCCCTTTTTTCATTCGTTCACCCATTAATTACTAATTTGGAAAGCATTTACTTAATGAGATTTAGGGCGTACTGTGCTAGGGACTTCAAAGAACAAAAGAATAAATAAAGCTCAGCACGTCAGTGTGTGGATTTTTGGCCAATGTAATCAGCTCTTCCTCAGTTTTTATCTCTTCGATTATGTTTAAATTAGCTTTTGAGTTTGAACATATTGTGATATCAACCTCATCATAAGCAGAAAGGTCATTGGTTTTCAAATTCAGTCTGCTTGTGTGTTTCCTTCTCAGGCTCTTGGAATGACATCATCCCAGGACCGAGCAGTGGTCAAAAAAAAACTCAAGGAAATGAAGGTGTCTCTAGAGAAGGCTCGGAAGGCTCAAGAGAAAATGGAAAAACAAAGAGAAAAGCTGAGGAGGAAGGAACAAGAGCAAATGCAGAGGAAATCTAAAAAGACAGAAAAGATGACAGCTGCCACAGAGGGTGCTGGTGAGCAGTAACACACACCCTCTCACAGAGAAGAGAAGTCTTCACCCTTCCTGCCCTGCTTTCCTCTGGAGGATGAAAAAGAAAACCGATGACAGGGGTAATGTGCTATAGGCAGATTGGGGAACCATGTGTTGAATAACTGCATTTTCTGCAATAGAATACACTCTTAATTTTAACCCACTGAAATAATCCCCAGCCACCTTTGGTTTATTAACAAACCCAGGATCTCATTTTTGAGAGAGGCACAGTAGCTGTGTTTCTCTCTTCTCTTACTTACCAACATCCTGTGTTGTGTTGGGTGGGTTGTGTCAGTTGGAGAACCAGTGTGACTCTGCCCAACATGACACACCCCGGTGTTGTTAATGGAGCGCCATGAATTTTCCTTACGGGATCCTAAACCTGGGCAATTGCACGTATCTGCATGGCCGAGAGCACCACTCTGCCATGAGATCTGGGCTGCAGAATCTACTCCAATGTGTGGGAAAGTTTCCCTCTCATTTCTGTGTCTGGACAGTGAGACGGCTGCACTGGGGGAATGTGGGAGCTCTGCCATATAATGACCTACTATGGCAAAAGGCAAGCAAACTGTTCTGTTTGCTGGGTGTCAGAAAAAGAGAAAAGAATTATAGTTATTTGTTAGCACCAGAAGGAAGCAAAAGTCTTAAGAATGTGGATGTGGGTATTACCTTGGGGTTCTAAGGGTAACATTTATCCTCCAGATTTAGCCAAACAAAGAAAAGATCAGACGTTAATGCAGCCGTGGGAGATTGGGATCTGGTGTTTACTTGGCTACTACTGCATGTTCAGTATTTCAGCAATACTGACACACACAACATAATTCCTTTTTTCCTGAACAAATTGAGCAGGAAATTGATTTTTAAGGAAACCAGCATTTTCAGGTTTCCTCTCCTGGGGAACATTCTGCCTGGTCTTCAGTCTGCCTATGACACAGTCAGGAACTCGTCACATATTTTGTACTCAAGAGTTCCCAAGTGGGCCCAGTTAGTGTTTTAACAAATGTACTTTTAAGAAAAATAGAAATACCAGTTAGAGAAAATTTAGATTTGAGTAACATTCAACCAGAGAAGCAATTTTATTGAGCACACAGAATGTTCCCATAAAGGAGAGCTGTCAGTTACATTTTAGAGATGTTTTGAATGGTTTTTCTGAGCCATTCTCTTCTACTCTTTAAAGATTTCCACTTTACAGTTCAAGTTTATGTAAGATAGTACACAAGATACAACCTAGCAGTGGAGGCAGTTATACTTATTTTAAAGCCAGTATTAAGGATTTCAGTATTGTATCAAACTAATTCAAGTGCAGGAGAGTAGGGCAGGAGGAGGAAATAAATTCATCTTGAGAAATTTCAAATGATGGGTTGTTTTTTATTATTGTTGTTTTGCTTTTTATTTATGCTCATGTATCTGGTTCTCTTTACTTCATTGGCTCTAGAAATGAGGTCATTCACTTTCCAAGGGATGAGTTTCAAGATAAGAGTTGAGGCCAAATGAATTCTTGGACAAGTGTTTTACTTCCTTTACTACGTGGGGGGTCTCTGTCCGTATCTTCCACTGGAAACATTATATATGCAGAGCCTGGGGGAAGGCTTTTGAAGGTTACAGATAACGGATAATGTAAAGGGGCTCCTGCCTGTGTAGCTCCATCTTGTATTTAAAACATTGTGATTTTTTTTTCTTGCTTGTCTGAATATCTGAAATCTGGAATTATCTACACCAGAAATTTTTAATCCTGTCCTTTCCCTAAGGCCTGTTTCCTTTTCGGTGACAGAGTGTTGTCTGTTAAGCTCCAATCCTTTTGTCACCAGGTACAGGTTGTTTATCCAGTCCGCAGAAACACTGTTGTAAAGTGATGTTGTGTTTTACAATTATCAAAGGCACTATGTGTGTTTTTCTGTCTATCTTCCTTGGCGGTATTATAATGAAACTGCCCTACTGGACACTCTGTTAGTATTTGAGATGTGTGGTGCTCTGCTCTTTGTTAATGTCATGAGAGACAAGGAACCACTATTAATGAACTACAAAATTCAGCAAATCTTTTCTAATACTAAAAGACTAAATTAGTCAAAATCTGGTAATACTAGTGCTTGCCATTGTACATTTTTGCCATTTTTGCTTATCTTTGGAAAAGAAGTGATCTGGATCACACTGGAAGTTTCACTGTATTCATTTTAAGAATGGAAATAGAAGGATGATTATCTTAAGTGATGTTTACACTTTGGTAATATTTGAAAATGGATGTATATACTGGAAATGTCTGTAAGTCTCAGACTCTGCACATAATTTATGATCTATTATATTGCATTTTCTTAAATGTCTTAGAAGTATTGTTCTTTAACTTTATTTGTACACTTCCAAGGTTTAGATCAATGACCAGCTGACAATATTGTAAATCAAATTCTTATTCCTCAAATCATTTATATTATAATTATTTTGATTTTTTAAGTTAAGTTATCGTAATTTTAGGTCTTAATGAGTTATTTTTAAGATTACTACTTAAAACTGCTGAAATTGTAAGAGGCACTTGATTTCATTGTCCAACAAAGAATAAAATGTAAACTGATTGGTAAAAGGGTATGAAAACAAAGTGAAGGACCTCAGATCTTGTGAACATTTTGTTTCCCCATTATTTTTTTATTGACTCTAGTGCATGATGCCTAATCGAGGTTCCAGTGTCTTACACAATTCCTCCCTTAACGCTAGTGGTTTTCAGTGTCAGTACAATTTAACAGAGAATTGTTGCTTCATGAACCTTAAAGACTCTGCAGTTTTTTATTTATCAGAAAATGAACAAAAAGGGAATATCTGGTTACTATGAACTATAGTCCCTAAAGGACAGCTCAGTGTGACTCTAACAACAGCTACAAGTGTTTAGGGTACAGGTAATGCTTTGGGGGACAGGGGGTGTGTGGCAAGGCCAAGTCATGGACAGAGAGCATTGTGTCAGCTGAGTGTCTGGGTCAGGGTTTTCATTATAGGACTTTAGTTTTATAACAGAATTACTTTATTTAAGACCATCTCCCTTAAAGTAACTCACAGTTATTTAATAGTTTTCTCATTCTTTTTTTGCCTAAATCAGAAGTTGACTCAGAGTGATGTTAGGGCAGAAACCTAATTTTGCCCATTCTAACACACTGATGAAGTCCACCTTTAGTTGCATGACAATAAAGCTCTTCTGTGCTCTCCTCCTTTAGCTGGGGTTGACATGGATTTCCCACCCTCGACATCACATAAGCATTTTAACCCACAGCAGTTCATGATTGCAGGATGATAGATGCTAATGCCAAACTCAGCTTTTAAGGGGCATGAAATGGGAACACCTACCTGTGCTCCTTTGTTGTTGTTGGAAACAAAGTGGCAAGAGGACAGGTGAGGAACCAAGTTAACCCTTGCCGCTGCCTTTTATCCTATAATCATCTCTGGCCTGAACTCTTAAGATGTCCCTGGCCCAAGGTACAAAAATAGTCACAGGTTGTTTGATCTAGCACCTTAATTAGCCTTTATGGTTTTTGCTGAAAACAAAGAATTCTCCTCTAGGTTCTTTGTATAATAGGATTAACATGTGCTTTAAAATTATATTTAAAAAGGTAAATAAAAATTTGCATTTATATGGATATTCTAACTCGTTTTTAAGTGTTAAAAGTTACATAGACCAAGCTTCAAGAAAGGAAATCCAGTGTTTAAACAATAGTGTTCAAAAAGATTCTAAAGGGAGGTGTCCCAGCAATTCTAAAAGAAATGTCTATACTTTGAATGTGTTGTAGCCCCATCATTACATTGAGATATTTAAGAATTACCAAATTCCATTTGAGTAACTAAATTTACTCTCTTTCCCAGTGGAGGTGCAGGTGAGGGGCATTTCGCTTTGGTGGACAGCGGTCACTAGGGTTCTTGTCACCTCCTTAATGCTAAGTCCTTAGTGCTTTCTGAATGAAAAGATAAAATGGAAAAGGAAAGCCCAGGTTTTTAAATATCTTTTCAAATTTACCTTTAATCAAGGATCTACCTGTACACTATTCTGAAGCTAAGCCTTTAAGGATGAAGTCCAGAAAGAAAATGTCCATATTTTCTATTAGAATTGTTTCATTATAATGATGGGAGTGGTGTGTAAATTCTCAAAAGAAAGCAATGTTGTGAGAAATACGAATGTGCTTCAGTGATTCACTCCTGAAAAACGGCCTGGGTGTGCAGGCAGTATTGTTTATATTTGTCTTAGGTATTTAAAGTCTCAGGAAATTCAATCTTGGTCCAAAACACTGGGGAAAAAATAACACCAGACAGTACACTAGTAGTATTAGAATAACTGAAAGTAGCAACATTGACTAGACTCAACCAAGAAGTCAGAGGGCAAAGAAGAAGCCTGCAGAATCAGTTTCCCCCTGGAAAATGAAAGCATCAACTTCTACCCTATGGTGAACAGAGGGTCCTCACATGCTTGTGTGGATGTGTTGAGGGAATGGTTGTTACTTGAAGGCTCACATATGTGAATGTGTGGACCAAACACAGCATGTAACTGCTTCCAGATCTACAGAGTGGGGAAGGAAAGAAAGGTGATGGTTTCCAATCCTTGGCCTTACCCCAATCCCAACTCCAAAACTGCTAGGGATTCAAGAATGAATAAGAGGTAAGGAATAAGAACAAAAGGCAACTTGTCAGTAATGTGCATGCCACTTGTGTAGATGTACAGAACTACATATGTGTGAATATATCTCCTACCTTACATACTCACACACATACCGCAATCACATGGCATAAAAAATATATATCATATATGGAACTTGGTAATGTCAGCACCCTGAGCAGTAATCATAGCCTTATTGCCACTTTTTGTGTTGTGTGTACATTGAATGGCTCATAAGAGATTTTTTTAATGTAAGTATTTCTACTAAATGCACTTATCCTTCTACATGTTTATATATTTTGATAAAATTGATTTATTAGATACTTGGTATTTTAGTAAGATAAAATGTCCTCAAATGTCTGGTTAATGCTTTTATGTCGAGATTGCACATTACTGAGTTGAAGCTCAGAAGTTTATGGAGCTTTGGGCAGACTGCAGTTTCCTTGGCTAAAAATTGCACTGTGTATTCTTGTGCATTCACTCATACTCTGAACTGACATATTTGGTAGCTGTGATGCTTAAGTCACTAACTCCTGGCTCTCTGATGGCAGCGTTGCCATCACATGACCCATTATTTGCTTCTTATGTGGAGTGATGGCATGATTAGGTCGTTGCCAAATATAATGCAAGTGGATGTGAGCGTGAGTATGTTGTTGGAAGGTGTACGCTTCTCTTGCTTTCAGCCCTTTTATTCGCACACCCAGGTTTTCTGTTAAGGATTTAATCTTTCATCCATGAAAGAACAATTGGCCAAAATAATTAAATGGGCCCTTTTTAAGGGCCAAAATGCCCCTTAAAAAGTGGGCATTAAGAGGCACCCCAGCTAGATAACACCTCCCAACAACATCAGATTTAGTTCGTGCTTAGTGAAACCCCTTAAATATATATGTATATGCTTTCCTTAATATTATTTATGGTCATCACTACTGCTTTTGTATTTTTTAATGATGTTGCAATCGAACTACTAGTATACCTGCTACATATCACTAACAAAACTGGCCAGCTGAGAAAAGAAAAAAAGAATAAATTCTGTTCCGTTGTAAGAAGTTGATTTATTTTAATCTTTCTTTATATATCAGTAAAGGAAAAGAGTTGTTTGAAAAATAATTTTAAGTCCAGTAAGTATGGATAGCATGTTATCTGAAATTTTTCATTTGTACATTTTGGTGTCTGATCATTTGCATGGAACAGACAACAGTGCTGCGTCTGAATTGTTCTCTTGTGCTTGGTTAGTATGTACTTCTCTAGATCATTCCGTTTCCAATGACATTTCTTACTCTTTGGTTTTCAGAGGCATTCAAAGCAAACTTTCATAGTGGTCCTTGTTTTGTGACCGATCTAAAAATATCTGTGATTAAATTTAATTTCTTAGTGTAAATAAATTTCTTGCCAATGAGTATTATTGTTGTTAGACAACGAATGCAATAAAGAGAAATATCGAGATCTGTCAGAGTAATATTTTTCCTCTTCTATTTTCACTTTCAACTAAAACAAGCCTTGACTACGTGAACCTGTATTAACTGTCAAAATATATCTATCAATCAAAAGCAGAGTGCACATTTTCCATGGAAATCAAACTAAAAATAAGGTTTAGCCCTGGTAAAGTGTAAATTGGCAGCTAGAATTACATTTGAGAGCACAATGATGGAACTGGGCATAAAGTTGAAAGATCCAAGCTTCCACTAGAAGCTCCCTCACTCACCTTTCTGTTCCCGTCACGGCTTCACCATCACAGTGTCTGATACCTATCAGCTAGGAAAAGGTCTGTGATAAACCCATTAAGCGGTTGGCGTCACACAGCGCTGGGCAAACTGAGTCAGGCCATCCCAGAGTGTGGGGTTCCTCTCAACAATTTTATTTCTAAAACCTTAAATGTTCAGAAGACTTGATATAACAAATGAGGGGTATTAATTTCTCTCTTTCTCACACACACACACACAAACGATAATTTATGTGTGACTAAACTTTTGGCAAGGCAAAAATTTAGACCTGAGCATCGTAGAATAAACGAAT